GGTGAAAACTGCCCAGTCCATCACTGGGGTTGCCCTCCCATCTATCCAGGACATTTATGACAGACGGTGCTTGAGGAAAGCTCTAAGCATTATCAAAGACCCCACATACCCCAGCTACAGACTTTATGATCTGCTACCATCTGGAAAACGGGACCGGAGCATTCGGGCCCGGACTACCAGACTCAAACACAGTTTTTACCCCCGCACTATTAAACTATTAAACTCACAGCCTCTCTCACTCTCACCCATGATCTGAACCTCACAGTGCCTTCTTTCTTTCTCTCTTTCTTACCAAAAATCCAAACACACATTGAAAATCTACCTCTACCATACATGTCAAAAGCTCACTCCCCATAATTTCTATCCCTTTATTTCATTCTGTTGATGCGTATTTTTGCATATAACCTGTTACCTTTTGTTGTTTTGCACATTGTCTGTTGTTGTTTTTTGCACATTGCCTGTTGTCTCTGTCTTTCTTTTGTTATACAATTGTATTGTTGTTGTTGTTGTTGTTTTTCTTGTACTACTTATGTCTGAGAGCTAGCTAAATAGAATTTCGTTATACCATATACCTGTATATGAGTATAATGACAATAAACTTGAACTTGAACTTGAACTTGAACTTGATTAGACGGACTTGGATGTTCTTTTTTTTTCAAAAATGGCCTCCGTCTTGCCACCCTACCCCATAGCCCAGACATGTGCATAATACATGAGATTGTTGTCACATGCAAAGAATGACTATTACCTGCCAGAAATTCCTGCAGCTCCTTTAATGTTGCTGTTAGCCTCTTGGTAGCTTCCATGATATGTTTTCTCCTTGTCCTGTCATCAATTTTGGAAGGTCGTCCTGATCTTGGCAATGTCCCTGTGTTTCCACTTATCGATGACAGTCTTCACAGTGCTGCATGGTACATCCAATGCCTTTGATGTTCTTTTATACCCCTCTCCTGATCGGTACCTTTCAACAATAAGATCCTGTAAAGGAACAAGTAATAGGTTTATTCTATGCTGAAAAAAAGAATAGAGAAAACACGTTTCGGCCGTGGATCCATGGCTGAAACGTTGTGTTTTCTCTCTTCTTTTCCTTTGCAGCCTACACATGCTTACGCAGCTACCCACCTGAATAAGATCCTGTAGATGTTTGGTCACTGCCTTGCGGACCATGGCTATCCCAGTAGGATGCAACCCGAAACTTTCAAGGAAATTCTACAGAACAGCTGATTTTTATTTGGGGTTAATCAGAATCCCTTTCATTTTTGGCAGGTGTATGCTACTTACCTTTGAACATGATTTTGAATGTGATTGGTTAACTATGAACACAGCTACAGCCCCCATTATAAAAGGGTTTGCACACGTATGCAACCAGGGTGTTGTAAATTTTGTAATTTAAATTATTTTACCTAATAATTATCTATTTGTTTTTCTCTTGAATTTTGTTGGTTGTAAGGTCACAAAGATGGAAAAATGTCTGACATGATTTATTTTGATTTCTGGCTTTACATTACAAAAACCTGGAATTTCAATAAGGGTGTGTAGACTTTTCATATCCACTGTATCTATCTTGAGTGACTATTGAAAGATTTGTGTTAGTGGTCTATGAAAAACATCTCTTGTTCCAATAAGTACAATTGGTTGAACAACACTGCCCTGAAGATTTGTTTGGCATAAGGGCTAGTAATATCTGTTATACTTTTCTATGGTATTATCATTTACTTATTGATGTAAAGCTTCAGGTAACATGGACTATTAGAGCATGATTTGTGCAAGGTACTGTATTCTTAACAGAAGATTCTACCAAATGTTAATATATTTAAAAAATAAAATAAGGCACTAGTATAATCTGTTTGAAAGCACATGGAACTATCTTCCAATTCTAAAATAATTTAGAAAAATATTAATAAATAAGGACAAAATCAATTTCAGAATTCTTATATAAGAAATATACAGTTTGGAGTGGATGTTTTAGTCACCAGACAAGAATCCTATTAAGATACTATGGAGTAATCTGCAAACTGCAAAATACTGCATCCATCTTATTACATCTTAAGGATGCCTGCTAACAAGAATGGTTGAACATCAGCTGATAGATGGGATGAACAAAGTAGTGAAGCTACATCAGACAAGGACTGCCAGTTCTTATATACTGTATGACAACATTGGAGGTTTAAAGAATGCATAACTCAATAATTGATTTTAATACTAAATAATTTGTATTTCCATAATTGCATATATTTCTTAACAAATACATAATAGAAACATCCTAAATCCTGGCAATATTTATTTTGTAAATTGTACAATCGTTCATGTGCTGACGTGTGAATTGTTTGAATATCGAATGGAACAGTTCCTTTAAATAATTGCCTGTGCTGTCTGCTCTTTTACAGAACATACAAGCTGTAATCCATTTATAAAATTAATTATACTTTGGGAATAAAACTTTTTGGCCAATTTTTAAATTACAATTCAATGCATTTTTTTAGTGTATGCTGTAAGTATTAGCTTTAACTGGTGGTTTACAGGCAACCTAATTCATACACAAAATAATTATTTTGCATTAAAAGTATATTTGAATAAACACTAATTGTAATTTATGCCCATTTATTATTTGGTTTGTACTATTTAGAATAACCAGTGTAAACTAAAAGCAAATTATGTTTAATAGGGTTAAATTTGGTGGTTAAAATTGTTTCAGATATATGATGGAGAACAAAATCAGGAAAGGTTGTTTAATGTTAATATATAATGGTTTTCCACATTTACATTGAAGTCTACATTATGTTGTTTAGTCTTTATTGTATAAATATTTTCCCTTATGTTTTCTTCATGTAAAAATGATTATACAATAATTAATCAAATAATATTCATTGTTGTATTTTTTTATCTATTTTTTTTATTTACTCAGCCATCTATGAGCCATCATGTGAAGCCTACAGGCAAATTGGTAGCACTTCAGGCTACTTTTCCATTGACTCTGATGGAAGTGGTCCACTAGGTCCTACACTGGTGTACTGCAATATTACAGGTAAGCACTTTAATTGTTGTGAGAGATTGAAATTGCTAATGCAAGTACTAAAACTAACGTATGAAATGTTTTCATATCTTTGTATTAGCCTAAATAATATGATTGCTGTGTTTTTCTTCCAGAAATAATACACTCCTTAAAAATTAAGACTATAAGGCCAATATAAGTGACTAAATATAACAAGTTTTCTGTTTCTATGCTTTTCCGGCATTTAAACAGTTTTCAATTTGAAGTGGAAACATTAGTGTGTTTCTTCAGTTTACATTACCCTTTACTCCAAAATTGTCTATACCTGTGTTCCTAGGAACGTTCAAATTTTCAATCTTCAAATTTGTCCTCAACAACGGTGTTCTTTTTACACAGTGATAGGCTGTAATGTATGTTCATGCATTTATTTTCAAATTTAGATATAAGTGACTTTGACACAGTACATATTTTCACTCAACTACTTACAAATTCCTAAACAGATCGTTTTAACTGGACATTTAAATCAGGACTGCTTTGTTATTGTTTATTGGTGGTACAGTGGAAGAAAATAAATTTAAACCATTAATAAAATATAAAATGATGAAAAATAATAAAGTGTAGCAATTAAGTATGCTTGAGGAGAATAGATAGATGAAATCTTTTAATTTGTCACTTATTTATAATTGCTTACCTCTCAGTTTTGGGAACAGAATACAGCATGATAAAAGGAACCTCCCTCTTTGACTCACCAAACTTCACTCCACTCACAGTGTTTTTCCACTCATTCTATCCCTCAAGTACATGCGGGCCGAGGGAACACCTCAAAGTACTCACTGTAACGCGAAAGACTAAGTAAGTAAGCATGCTCATAGCAATTCCCAGAACAGAACATAACAGCAGGAGCAGTGATAATCAAGGACTCAAGAACATTTAGAACAGTTTAATAACAGCTTGAGTTGTGTCTGTATACTAACCAAGTACACTGGAGCACAAGGTGTAGCTTTATCTACTACTCCTCAGCACCCCATGGTTTTTACAATAAACTCACCTTTGTTTGGAGGTGAGATTCTCTACAGCAAATACAATCTTGAAAAAGAACAAGAGGAGGGGTTGGGAAACACTGGTGTAAAAGCACAGTAGAGCAGGATTAATGATTAAGTACAGACATCCAATAAACTGGTAGCTTCCCTTACTTAAAGTGGTAGATGAAAATAGCTAGAGAATGTATTTTTAATCGCCTTCCATTTAAGACATGGAATTGTAAAGAAATTATAAAATAAGAACTAAGGGGAAAGAGACTGAAAACTTTGCATTCAGCAGCTTCATGCTAGGTACGCTGTTATACCATAACATTATTATGTTATACCATGTGTACAATTTGTTATACAATTTTAATCATATAAGGCAAACTTGAATTAAATCCCCACATTGTAGCAAGGTTTCAGATCTCCCACTGTCATTCACTTCATGACGTGGTTGTTGTGTATCCCTTACACTCTGTGATGCAACTGCCAATGCAGAACGCACACCCAGCAGCTGTATTGACTCTTGATAACATTGGGCAGATTTCACCTCCACCAAGGACATTCATTTGAATGTTTGTCCAATCAACTTTTGATGGTAATATCTGTTTCTAATGTGGTTACCATGGGTAACGGGGAATCTGGGTTTAGTTCTTGCAGGTCTAACTGCAATGAGTACACTTTGTATACATCAACAAGGATCCAATGAAGACCAAGTATGGTTCCAGTAGCAGCAGTAATTCCAATCCAATACCATGTATTCGGATTGCTGCATTTAAAAAGAGAGTTGAACCCTGGGATAGATCTGGTGGCAATTAAATTTGCAGAACACTTTGAAGGCACCTTGTGTCTGTCTGAGGATCACTTTCCTATTATTTGGTATCATTTACTTCTTCTATCTAGTGCTACTAACCCATAATTAAAATAACGTATATTAGTTTTATTGTTTTTAAATTTGTTATGTCCTAAATGGAGAAAATGGTATTTGGCCAAATTTACATATGCATAATACACAGAATGATGGTTAAATTTAAGGGAGTTTTTATTTGAGATATGTGGTTATTGTCTTTGGGTGAGTTTTGACCAAAGAAGCATTATGACCCATAGGAGCTACCTGCAGTAAGACTGGTAGACCTCTGTCCTACACTATAGAGAAAGCATTAAGTACTCATTAAGTATGAGTTTTAGAAAAAGGATTAAGTTATCTCTTATGTTTCTCATGCATTTTTTTCCATTAACATTTTTTGCTAAGAAGACCTTTTTCTCTTACCATTTGTTCTTGTTAGTTCCTATTTTACATTTTTTTCACTCAAGTTCACCACTCGGCAGGACAGTGGCACAGTGGTTAACATTGCTGCATCACAGCACTGGGGCCTTGACATCAATTCCAAACTTGGTGCTCTCTCTGCGTTGACTTTGATGTTCTCCCCTTGTTTGCATGGTTTTCCTCAGGTTTGCTCAGGATATATGGAACATTCCACTTTCCTGTTGAAGTACATTTCTTTGTTTATTCTTTCCATGCAGTTATCCACCTAAGGCATTGGTCGCTCACAGTACTGTACTAATAATAGGCCTCAGGCTGACTACAAACTATGCTTATAAGGCCATTATACAGATGCAGCCACTCACAATGCACGGTACAACCCTGTACCGCGCAAAATTATCTACAGTTTGCCGCGTTGTACTGCAGTATATGATTGGCTGGCCAAAATGACTGACAGGGGCACTAGTGGTGCATTGGTTGCTAGTGAAATGATTTAATCATTTAATCTCTAAACAACAAATAATTTCAAACTGCTACTGTACTGCCACAGCAGTATAGCTTGTGGGAAATACAATTATTTGTCCTGCATCAAAGTTTAACTCATTCAGAGCGCCCTACATTACAAACTCCAAGCATTTCATTTTGTCTGTTGCTACCATATCAACAGCAATGTAGTTAGAAGGAACATGTAAAAATGTTTCCAAAATAACCACAAGTGAACGAGTTGAGGGATATGATAATAATAGAGAAATCATAACAATGACCCCATGTTGCTAATCATGCATACCCAACTGTACTGTGGTCCACTTTCTTTGTAAACATATTTTTTTTTTATTTGACTCATTCATGCATGATAAATTGTGAGAGAGTGATGGATGGAGACAAGATGGAGGTTCTTGTCAAAACTACATTCCCCAGAATGCAGTGGGAAACAATGTCAGTCACCGTCAGCTGATGTACTGCATTAGTAGCTTTTTCGGAGTCATTTTTTTATTCAGTTTTCATTAGATTCGCTTATTTAAATATCTATTTATGAGACACGGATGTTTCAGATGTCAATAACTTTTTGAACGTCCTGGTTCGTTCCTGATGAAGTGCTAGTTCTGAATAGTGATTCAGCTGTCCACAGTTCCGACCTGTTCATGAGGCTTGCTGCTGATGCTAACTTCGGGTGGATCCTCTGGTTACTCTCTGGCAACCTCCGGTCTAGACTCTCAGAACAGAGGAAAGTTCTGGCACTCGGACACACTGGCCGTTCCATGGTTGTCC